GAGTGAAGGGTGGCAGGGTGCTGGTCAGGGACTCCCCTTCTGTTAAAAATGAGGACATTCCAGGCAGAAAGCCCTGAAGCGTCCCCCAAATTCACTTTCCAGTGGATGGACCTCTTTCCTCTATGAGTAACATGAGAATCCTGCTGGGGTGGGCTGGTCCCCAAGGATGCTTCCCAAGGAAAAGGGGGAAGCCTGCCTTGGAATCTGGCAAGGAAGGAAGCCCACCAGTGGAAGGGGTACTGGGTGAGGATCATTTCCCTCGCTGAAACACATTTCCCTGGAGTCCTGTGGGGTATTCATGGTGCCAGGGACAGGCCAGGACACCAGGAGACCCAGCTCCACCTGCTCTGTGGCGGCCCGGCAAATCACCCACCTACCTTGCTTTCCCCAGCTATAAATGAATAAAGATATTATCTTTCAAATCAAACTATATCTCACCATAATTCTAAAAGTTGGGAGCTGGAAAAGTATGCAAGTAAGAAATGTAAAAAAACAACCCAGATAAGCATGACCCCTCCTACCTTGGGGTCTTCGTATCTATTTCCAAAGGGCAGGAATGTGAGACACACTGTTTCCTACAAAAATTGATGTTCCCCACTTGCTGGCACAGGAGCTACCCAGACTGATCCCTAAAGTGATGTGTGGGGGACCTGGCTGCCGGGTGGGCTGCATTTGTAACATGTCTGTGGTTGTGGGACGGAGATACGTAGAGGCCAGGATTAGAAGAAGAACCTGAGTCACCTGGTCCAGAGCCCAAAGGAGTTTGGCAAAGGAAGAAAATGAACCAGCACTTCTTCTGAAAGCATGAGGAGCCCAGGAGGGTGGGCGACAGGGAGTGGTCAGGACTCAGAGGATGGCAGCTCAGGCCTCTGCTTTTCAACCAACCCCTCCTTGCAAACCCCACCAGGTCGCCCAGGTTTTCTCCCCTCTCAGGGCAGCTTTGCTGGGACACTCCTGGGAGTATGGAAAGGGACCTCTGGAAGGGTTTAGGGCCTTCCCAGGCCAGGCAGGGAAAATAGAACACTCTGCTAACCCCTTACCTTCCCACTTTTCACTCGGGGAGGGGAGAGCTCAAGTTGTCTCCTGATAGCACCTTGATGCCCTCCTCCCATTAAAAAGTAGGTAGATGGCCCTAACTAGTTTGGCTCAGTGGATAGAGCCTGGGACTCAAGGGTCCCAGGTTTAATTCCAGTCAAGGGCATGTACCTTGCTTGCGGGCACATCCCCAGTAGGAGGTATGCAGGAGGCAACTGATCGATGTTTCTCTTCCATTGATGTTTCTAACTCTCTATCCTCCTCCCTTTCTCTCTGTAAAAATCAATAAAATATATTTTTAAAAAAGAAAAAGTAGGTAGATGGGTGGATAGATAGAAAGATAGATAGATAGAGTAATGAGCTAGCTGCAGGGTCCTAAGAGATTAGGAGAGTGGGAATAGAAGTGACTTATGAATTTGCATACGTCATGATTACCAGAAACTGTTTGCTCTCTTCTGAATAATCACAGAGACAGTCTTCCTGAAACCTAGGAACTCCCTACCAGCCTCAGGTTCCAACAGAAAAGAGTCCCTGCCCATTGAAGCCCGCACCCCCCCCCCTCCTTCTCTAAGCCTCCCCTTACCTGGCCTCCCATCACTGTTGTCGCATCCCCTGTGGCAAGGGTCCTCTCCAGGTGGCTGTGGTGAGAAACAAGCCCGGCATGGGCAAGGGGATAAGAATGGGCCAGGCCTCCCCACCGCTCCCAGGCCCATCCCACCTCCGTGCTAACTCCGGGGTCCACACACCAGGAGTAAAGAGGGGGGCAGTGTGAGGGGCAGCCACAAGCTACTCACCTGGGATCCTGGGCCAGAGCGGGCTGCAGTTCTGCGTTGCTGGGGGGTGCAGGTGCTTCAGCTGGGGACAGGGAATTCCTCTCCACTCAGAGTATGCCTCTTTTTGTTGGGCCTCCCACCACCTGTCCCCCATCTGTTCGGAAGCCTCTCCCACATTTCCCCTGGCACCTCAAATCCTTTCCCTCCTCCCACCCTCCCTGGCACTCTTAAATGAGGGTCCCTCTCTTTCATCCCACTCTCTGCGTCCAGTTCTCTGTAGTTTCCCACCTTGGGTTTCTTCCAGTCTGCGCAGCCTGGGACCCGCTTCCCGGGCTCTCCGAGGCCTCTCTTTCCTTCTGGGCCCCTCTCTTCAGACCCTCTTTTTCCTGGCTGTCCTCCTGGCCTCCCTTAAATCCTCTCTTTTTCTTCCCTCTCTCCATCCTGCCCCGTCCGTTCCCTTAAACGTTCCCCAGTCCCGGCCTCCCCTAGTCCACACCCCTCTTACCTAAAGCAGGCACCTCCAGGGGCTCCCCTGCCAGCTCACCCCGGGACAGCCAGGCGCAAGCGAGGAGCAGGCAGAGCGCGGGCGCGGGGACGAGCGGGGCTGGGGCCCCCATAGGAGCGCGAGTGGACCGGGAAGCCTGAACACAGGCCTGGAGTCCTGAGTGCCTCTCCCGGCGAGGGCTGGGTCACACCTCCACTCTGTGGCCGAGGTCTGTCTTGCAGTCCTGCCCAAGGTTTCCTTGGCCCCTCCTCCCAGGCGCTTGGCTCCTCCCCAAGCTAGAGTGACAGGACTGCCCAGTTCATTACCATAATTTAGGCGCCTGAGAAAGATCCGGCCTTAGCCCTTCATGTGCTGCCTGCCCCTCCCAGGGGAGGATGGATTCAAATCTCTCAGCCCTAAGTCTTTCCCCAGAACGAGGAGGCAACCTGTGTAGCCTCCAACATCCCTTAGTCTTCAGAGATGCCTGGCTCAGGATCTAGGTCCCGCAGCCCCTTATGCCAGAGACCCAAGATGCTAGTAGGTCTCCTCCCTCTCCTTTTGCAGAGGTCCTGCGAATTGCAGTGGTCCGTGTTCAGTAGCAGGACCAGGGCTCAGGTCGGCAGAGTCCTGGCCTGTGCTCCCACCACTCTCCACTACAGCCTCCTGAGTCCGCCTCCCCACTCCTCCTCCTCCTCCCCTACTCGTTTGAGCAGCTCAGGAAATGATAACTTAGTAACAGAAGTTATCATTTCCTGAGTTGCTCCCATCTCCATCAAGGCCAGACTTTGACCACATTTTTGTGAACAAGTTACACTTCCTGTCCAGGAGGAAATTGAAAATGGAAATTTGGGCCTGAGAGCCTTGGGAACCTGGGCATCATTCACTTGTTCAACTAAGTGTTGGCACACCAACTAGATGCCAGGCCTTGGAGATGATGATTTTGGCCCGAGTAAGACCTCTGAACAGAGGTATGGATTTGGGATACATTCATTCATTCACCCATTCAACTAAGTTGGTGAGCATCCATTCCTCATCACATGTTGTTCTGGGATGAGGGGGGTAAATAAAGCACACCGGGGCATAGCCATGGGCGTAGAAGCCATGGACATGGACGGGTAAGGGAAGAGGACAGAGCCAAGGATGAAGCCCAGTTAGGGAATGGGTGAAGGAAGGGTTTTCTCAGAGGAAGCTTGAAAAGGAACATGCATGGGTGAGGAGAACCAGGACTGGGTCCTCAAAACCAAGAGGGAAGCATTACAAGAAGGAGTTGGTGGGGGGAGGCAGTCGTGTAAAAGGATTGGGGTGCCAGTGGACCACATCCCCTCCTATAAGGGCATTTGCCACCTTGCCTGAGTTCTAAATATGGCTACATGATACTGCGATGAAATGTAGAGAATCAACAAAGTAAATTGGAGAGAAATATATCCTGTGTGTCATTCTTGGACCTTTGAAAATCCCACAAGTTTTCCCCTTTGATCTCTGAGGTAACTAGTTACACTAAGGCAAGACCATGGGTAATATTTTAAGGTTCTTCTCTGGGAAGGATTTACATCTTAAACTAGCGAGTAAAAAATAGTCCTCTGGCAAAACCTCAGCTATTGGAGGGGCAGTGCTCCTGAGGTTACAATTATAAGTGCTCCTCTGGTTTGGGCTGCTGTCCATCTCCTGTTCCCTTCCCCCAGTGTGGTGCCAACAGCACAAGCCCCCACCCAGGCACAAGCTCCATCATGAAAAGTCCCCACTCTCCCCACTCACACCCGTTTTAAAGCCCCCACCCAGGCACAAGCTCCATCATGAAAAGTCCCCACTCTCCCCACTCACACCCTTTTTAATGCCCCTTCCCTGGCCTCCTCTTTCTTCTCAGTCTGCCCCAGGCTGGGTTCATCAGTCTTTGCACCCAGCACTAGACCTGGAGTTGAGCAAACTTTGGTGGAATTGAATCACAGGAACCAGGTGGGTTCTCAGACATGGGTTAAGGTCAGCAGTAAATCCCACTGTCATTGCTAGGCCCTTCCATGCTCCAGTGAACGTGTGTGTGGGTGTGTTTGGAGGGAGTAGGCAAGGGGGGAGATGGGACGGGAATTGGTGGAGGAGGGGCACTTCCACCCACTGGTTCTGGCTTCTGTGAGCCACACTAAGACCCAGGTCCAAGGAATTAGAATGGAAGATTTCTTCCTAGTGGGAAAAGTCCATGAAGGAGGCCATTATGGAATGAACGCTGAAGGTGAGACATGGGCCAAGGGGTGACAGACAGGCTCATGAGGGTGCATGAGCCTCTATTTGTGTACCCAGAGAATTCTGACTAGATCACCCAGCTCCCTAACCACCTGTGTTTGAGTTTCAGGACCTCTGCGTTACTGTTCCCCCCCTCCCAAAAAAAAAAGGTCCCAAACCTCCTTCTCAGATCCTCTCTGAGATCCTCGTGTGCGTCTGGAGGGTCGTTCCAAGGGGACTGGAATAGCCACCCACCCACCGCCACATACTCACGCTGCAGCCCAATGGCTCCCTGGGCGCATCAGAGAGCTGAGACAGAAACCAAGTGCCAAGTGCAGACAGGTGTCTCCCTCTCCCAGCCGCCCGGCCCCGCCCCCGCCTTCACAGGCCAGGCCCCGCCCCCACTGCTCCCGGGCCCTGACGGTCACTGTCGCCGGCAGCCTGGCACCCGCAGGAGCGAATTGTGCGGAGACAAGGCGCGATCTGCCCCAACCATGGACCGGAAGGTGGCCCGAGAATTCCGGCACAAGGTCAGAGCTGCTAGGGGAGCCCCAAGCGCCCCGACCCCTCCCTTTTCCAGCGGGAGGGCTCTGGGTAGCCTGGGATGCCAGTAAAAGCAGGGAGCAGGCCTGTAGGAACTAGGGATCTGATATTTGTCCCTTCTTCTGCCCTCCTAGGGCTGGGACTTCTTTGGAGTTGGAATTCCTTCCAGCCCTGGCCTAGCGCCCCAGCTCAGTTGGAGCATGTGGAGAGGGAGAGGGCAATGTTTGAGAGGGAACTGCCTTCTGTCTCTGTATTTTGACCTCAAAACGCTTCAGGGAGCTACCCCTTCCCTGCATAAGAGCATTTCTTAGGTCCCCAAGAAGAGAAGCTGTTGAGGAACTGGTGCTGGCCCGGGGCCAGTGGGAAGAAGGGAGGTGGTCCAGAGAGTCAGCCAGACCCTTCCCCAAAGCTACATCTCCCCATGTGGTCCCACTGGGGCCTCATTCAGTGGTGGGGAGTCCAGACCATCACTGAAAGCTGCTGAATTTCACCCAGGGAATTTCCAGAACAGTTTCCAGCGCTGTGCCCGAGCCACTGGGTCCCTGAGCCAAAGAGGACCATTCAGGAGAACCAGGGGACCTCCCCACCAGGCCTTAGGATGCCTCAGAGCCCTAGAGTGAAGCCAAGAGTGCCGGGAGCTACCCACAGGCCCCACTTGAGAGATTCACAACTGTATGCCCTTTCACCCTCCCAGAGCCCAGAGGGGTCCTCTCTGTACACCAAGCCTACCTTCTTCTCAGGCCTGAGGGGTAGAGCTCAGATAGGCAAGATCAGGGTACTTAACCCCTCTCTCCCCACAGAGAGGCCCAGGGGGGCCAAGGAGCCAGCCAGTGCAGGGCCACAGGGGCTGAGCGTCGGGAGCCAGGGGTCAGGCATTCACTTCATGACTTGGGCACCCATTCTGCGCTAGACCCACTCTCTGCCCACACATTGTTGGCTGTGTGTGTGGGAGGCAGACCCCACATGAACAGGGGCAGGGAGGGGGGCGATCAAGGTTTGCTGGGCACAAAGCAGGCAACTCATACTGGCAGAACTTTCCTAACAATGGGGCCTTGGGCATCCTGGGGTGAGAGATCCCTGGGGGGGTGTGAGGCAGTGTTTAATGGGGTACCCTCTCGCAAAGGGACGTGAGGGGAGATATTTCAACAGCAAGGACATCTGGTGAGTATAGATTTCAGACAACCCACTTGAAAGGATCACAACCTCAAATCCCCCACCCCAAGGCTCAGGCTTGAGTTTCACTTTCCTGCCCCTGGGCTGAAAGTAAGGCCGGGCCTCTTTTGGGGGGTGTTAGTCTTCGCCTCTTTTCAGAGAATTAACTCTGGGGCCCCAGTGTCTGCGTCAGCCCCTGGGTTAGCCTCTGGTCCTCTTCACCAGGCCCTGCAGGCTCCAAAGGGCCTCAGGCCTCTGTGTTTCCCCCGCGCCGCCCGCCCCAGCTCTTCCTCATCACAAGTCATTACCTATTAATGCCCCTGTGAGTGAAGGCGGGGGCAGGCGCCACACTGGGCAAGGCCTGGGCTGGACTTTGTGCCCTGCAGCTTGGGAGGCAGGTGCAGCCTTCCCCTCCCAGGCTGGAGCTCATTCAGGAAGGAAGAGGGAGGAAGGAAGAAGCAGCCGAGGATAGAGAGAGGCTCACAGGTATAGAGGGTGAGATCAACTTCTGGCTGTCCTTTGCTTTCTGGATGTCCCTCCTTAGTGTTTCGCAGATAATTGACCCACAGGGAATGATTTGTAATCTAAACCCATAGTGCCTTAGGGTAGTGTGTTGTCCTGGACAGTGCTGTGTGCCCTTGAACCAGCTATTAACCTCTCTGTGCCTCCACTCTCTGATTAAATGAGGATAGCAATGATATTTAACTACTAAGGTTACTGTGAGTGCTGGGGGAGAGCTACTTGTGGAAGGAGCTTAACTCAACCCTGGCACTTGGTGAGGCCTCCACAAATGTTCACTGCTGTTGTCTCTTATCTGGGGTTGCACAGAATTAGGTTCAAATTGCAACCCTGTCAACTCATAAGCCACATCATCCTCCAAGTGTTAGTTTTCTCAGTTAAGAGGTGAGGCTATGGAATTCTGAGAGGAATTCAGAGAGTGATGGGGGATGGATCAGAGGTGGGGGTGGGGGCAGGGGAGTGCTGGTAGGCCATGGTCAAGACTCTGGGATTTGTTATGTGCTGAGAAACCAGCAGGGGAGTGACATGACTAATTTACATTTAAAAGGAATTGCTCTAAGATTTGAACATAAACTTCACAAAAGAAGCTACATGAAAGGTCTGTAGGCATGTAGATAAGTAAATAGGGAGATGCACAGTAAACAATGAGATAACATTTTACATCCTCTAGCCTGGCTGACATGGGAAAGTCTGACAATACTAAGTATTGGTGAAGACTTGGAACAGAGCTCTCATACATTGCTGCTGAGGAGAATACAAAACGATACAGCCATGTTGTAAAATATGTAGCTTGGCAGTTTTCTATAAACATTAAACCTACATTTACTATATGAGCCACCAATTCTACTCCTAGTTGTTTACTCAAGGAAGTGAGAATACATGTCCACAAGACTCATGCATAATGAGAAATGGATGAACAAACTGCAATGTACCTACACAGTGGGCGATCACCCAGTCATAGGAAGGAAAACATTATTACTGCATGCAATGACACAGATGAATCTCAGAAACATAGAGAACACAGAAGTATGTTCTGCATGATTACATGTACGTGAGGGAATGGGAGAGGGGCTGACAGAAAAGGAAACTCTGAGATAATGAGATGATCTGGGTGGTGGTCATACCAGTGTAGAAAGTTGTTTAAATTCATCAAACTGGATAGTTAAAATAAAATAAAAAATTTTAAGAACTTGCTCTGAGTGCTGGTAAGGAGCAGACTAAGAGGGTCAAGAGAGGAATCCAGTTAGGAGGCTCCTACAGTTGCTCAGGCCAGAGGCAGGGGCTTGGACTAAGGTGAGGAGAGGTCAGACCCAGGACATAGGGTGCAGCTATTCCTGTGGGCTTTGTTGATGTGATGGCTGTGGGTATGGAGAGAGACATCAAGGGTGATCTACATTTTGGGAAAAGGAGCAAGTTGGTGGAGACAGAGTGGGAGATGGTGGAAACGAAGCGTTCCATTTTGGATGTTTTAAGTGTGAGATACCTATTAGACCTCTCAATGGAGAGGGGAGTGAGAAGGCTAGTAGCAGTGGGAGTGTGAAGACTTAGGAGAGACCTGTGTTGGACACAAGTATCAATGAGTCGTCGGTGGGGAGGCAGTGTGAATGGTAGTTCAAGCCCCGAGACCAACAAGGTCACTTAGGGAGACGGTGCAGATGGAGAGAAGACTGAGAGATCCAACCTTTAGAGGAGAAGGAATAGCAAATAAGGCAGGAGTACCAGGAGAAGGGAGCATGGTCAGCTGTGCCAAGCACTGGGTCAAATGCTATCAACTAGTTGGCAAGATATGAGTGTTTTCAAAAAAAGAAGGATAATACAACAAGAGACAAGCAACCCCAGCACTATCTGGGATGCAAGCTGTGAAGGTCTGGGAAGAATGTGCCTGGCCCATTCATCCCGCCAACATATATGGAGGGCCCACTCTCTGCCTGCTGCTGAGAATATAGAATGTGTATCATCTATTCTTACCTAGTTTTATTTTTTTACCTAGTCTTACTATTTGCCTGGCACTGTTCTGACCATTTGATAACTATTCACTCATGAATAACTTTTAAAATTATAAATCTCTCATAGAAGAATGAAATCCTATGAAACAGATACTTGAATCCCCATTTTTCAGGTGAAGCAGAGAGATACAGACCTAGATGGGGAAGGAGCTTGTTGGCCACACTCTCCACACTCCCCCCCAGGCGTGGGCCTGGGCCACACACACATTTGTGGGGACACAGGAGGGTAAGAGAAAGTACAGCACAGCTTGGTGGGTCCCGGGGCAAGAGTGGGAACAAAGGGTGCAGAGAATGACAGGACAGGCTTTGTGACTTTGTGATGGAGCCCGAAGAAAGGCTGACCCGAGGAGAGCTGACATTTGAGCCAAGGTGTCTTAGCAGTGGAGCAAGAGGTCACAGAGGAAATGATGCTGGCACCGCCATCAATAACAGATAATGTTTCAGGCCAGCCAGTCAGGTGGGAGCAGCTGGCCCATCCAACCGGAAAACTGAAGAGTTCTATGAAGGGGCCACATAGAGGGAAGGGCAGGAGCACATGGGCCAACAAGGCTTGTTAACACAAGCTGAGAGGAGCAACAGCCAGAAGCCAGGGCTCCTGAAGGCGAGGGGAGGAAGGGTCCCCCAAATAGGGGCAGCCATGGCCCAGGCAGCATCTGCAGCCTCAGGTGGGGGAGTCTGCCCACCAAGCGTGGTGGGAGCCAGAATCAGAATCCATTCCCTTTCTCCTCACCCCTCCCCACCCACTGCTGAGTACAGCAGGGAGCTGAGGGCAGGGAGCTCAGGCAAAGCTTCCTGGGACACAGAGCCTGTGGCGAAGGCTAGCGAGTGGGTCTGGAGGTGCAAAGGAAGAGGTTCAGCACATGTTTTGAGGCCCAGGGCACTCTCCTAAGTACTTTACATGCATTCACTCATTTAATCCCCACATGGCCCAAGGTCAAATGGAACAATATGCATTATTTAATTTGTTCTTGCTCTCTTTTTCCCTCTTTGGCTGGGTGCACACGTGGAGTTGAATTTGCATGAGCTGAAGGTATATGCTTCCTCTTTCCGGAAAGGCCAGACCACACAGAGGAATGCTGTGGCCCAAAGTCACACCTAGAATTTGCCTCTCGTGCCCCAGACAGGGGGCCTGAACGCCCACGTCTCCCTGCCATATAGGCCTGTAGCACAGAAATAGTTGAGCATCAGCTAGAGAATGAAGGCGACCAGACACAAGGTCAGATACAAAGTCAGCAGAGGTTGGGGGGGAGGGGGGATTGATGTGATAAATAGATCTTCCAACAGTTATTTGTAGATGGTGGCTCCTTAGGATTTCTCTGCCCATCATTGAGAAGGGATCTAAGAAAAGGAAAGGCTTTCTAGATATAGGAGAAAGAAGACATAATAGGTACTCAATAAATGTGTATTAGACAAATGCATACAAAAAAAAAGTTGTATCTGGGAAGTGGATACCATATGGTGGTCGAGAGAAAGCAGAGGTTTTGGAGCCAGCGGACATAGGGTGAAGGCTCAGCTCTGCCACTTCTCTGATTCTTTGTTTACTCATCTGTGAAATGAGGATAGTACTATCCATCTACCTCAGAGCATTGTTGGGAGGTTAAAGGCATTACATGTAAACTTCTTCAGATGAGGTGAGCAGTCAGTAAACAGAGTCTGTCCTGAATGAAGGAGCCAGACAAGAAGGGGCTCAGCTGGGAGGCTGGTAAGGAAGCTCCAGGCTGCATGTGGTCAGGAAAGACTCTGGAAGGGGGGCTTGCACTGCCCTTAAGCAAAGGCAGGGTTAGAGGGAAGGAAGGAAGACAGTCCATCTTGTGTGGGTCTGGGACTTACTCTTTGGTGAAAAGCTGAAACTGAGCTAACAGGAGAAAGGTCTAGGAGGCCGGGCAGGTGTGTGCTGAGGAGATGGGGAGGTGGTCACCCAGGACTGGGCCAAGAGGTTGGAAGGAAGGTTCCAGATTAGAGCAGCTAGAGTTCACTTGTCATTCAGCAGACAGCACTGGGCACTGCTTGCCTGTGTGCACTCCACTGATACCTGAGTGCAAGGTGTCAGGCGAAACCCACCCAGCTGATCTTCGGTCCTCCTGCCGAGTTTGCCAGAACCCAGACTCCAGGAGGAGGGGATAGACCACATGAGTTTAAAAAAAAAAATCACTTAAAAAAGTGAAACTTGAATTATGCTGGTGACATTACTACATATCAGGCTTCTAGAGAAAGTCTCATCTTTCTCAGTTGTCTTTCTCAGGTGCCTTTGTAAGCCCAGAGAGTGAGGTGTGAGTGTGTGTTTTCACGTGGGTGTGGCCTGACAGTGAAGCAGAGACCTTTCCCGATGGTTTGCCACAGGACCTCCCTGTGGCGTGGTCACTTAGATTTGTATTTAAAGAGCATCCCACGCAAACCAGATGTGCTTCCCCAGCTGTTATGGTATACAGGTAACTTTTTGAATGGACGCATTGAAATGATAGAAAGAGATGGGTCGTTCTGAGTGAGTCCAAGTTCCACTTAGGAAACAGTGGAGATGACCCTGGAGAAGGAGAGCCGGGTAGAACTCAAGACCAGGATTTGAGTGACCGAACTGGTGGCAGCAGGCTAAAGAGCTGAACTTGGCAGCTGCCTCCGAGGACTGGTAGGTTGTGATTTCTGGATGCTGTGGTCAGCATTGGAAGGTTGCCGACAAGGACGGGGACCCTGGAACCCCAGGATAGGCTTTTTTTTTTTCCACAAAGACCATCTCCGGGTGATCTGTGGTCGACTGGGAAGGAGATAAACAGCATCCTAGACTGTAACACTGAAAATTGCTTTTGTCTTCTACTCCTACTTTCCACCCAGTGCATCAATGCTGCCTGCCCACCGAGGACAGCAGGAGGCATTTATGTAAGGGGAGTTGGGAGAGAGCAGCAGCCTTAAGGCCTCTGCCAACAAGAGATTCTCTCTCCTCACCTTCCTCTCCTGCGCCCCCACAGCTGGAGTGGGGCTAGGAGCCATTTGGTCAGAAGGTCCTCACTCCAATCAGAGAACATGGGATTTTTATGCTCCCCTTGAGAGCAGAACATCCGTGGTTCAGTCATTCAAGAGTGTTTCCTCACTCGTGATGAATCAAGCCAAAAGAGTGGGGGCTTAGGGTGTTGGGACAGACTTAGTCCAGAACCCCTGAGATACTCATGGAAAGATGCAAAGCTGTGCTGACCCTCCTCTGAGGACCAATGTGGAGGGGGAGGGGCTTGCGGCTGAGGCCCTGGACCATGTTGTTGGGTCTGGAGGCTGCAGGAGGGAGGGAGTCTCTAACCTTCCCCTCTCACTCAGCCTAGGGCTGAAGAGGAGCCAAGGATAGTGTGTAGATTCACACTAAGCTGTCCCAGGGAGTGGAGCTTGAGGCTCCTGGGCCCCCAGCTCCCCCGGGACTGAGGTGCTAATGAAACAGTTGCTCCTGACCCTGACCTTGGAGTCCCAGCCATTGACGTCAGCAAAGATGAAATAAGTAACCTGACTCTCCCTCTAGTGAGTGTGTGGGGAGCAGGAAGAATATTCAGGGACCTGGGGAGGGGAAGGAGTGGCCAGAAGTCAGGGCCAACCAAGCTTAGGCCAGGAGGGATGGTGAAGTTGCCCCTGGCATCGGTGACACAGGAGAACCCGGTGGTGGGGTGCTTCCAGCCGGTGGGATGTGCTATCTGAGCGAGTGGCCCAAATCCTTTCTGAAAGCCGTTATCCGGCACTATAGCCGCTATCAGGTAAGTCCGGGAGCCGCCACTGCCGTGGTCTCCCTGGACACTGAGCCGCAGCACCGCTGCCATGGGGCGTACCACTGTCATGTATGTGCAGATGCATGTGCACCCACCTGGGGTGAGGCTCGGCCTGCCACATCCAGATGTGCAGAGTACTGTGGCCACGCCCGGGTGGTCTGCACAGGTGTGAAGTGTTGGGGCCAGAGGGCCAGCCTGGCCTATGTGTGGCTTTCCTCCTCTCCTCACAACCTTAGCCCTGAGCTGATGCCACGGAGTTCCCCAGTGGTGGTCTCCCCCTCCCTGGGATCTGCAATGAGGGTGCTGGGCCTGCAGCTGTAATTCTGCTCTTGGGTTTTCCAGGTGGATTTTCTGATTGAAAATGACGCCGAGAAGGACTACCTCTATGACGTGCTGCGGATGTATCACCAGTAAGTGTGCTGCGTCTAGCTTCTGTGGGCCACCTGGGTACCTCTGTCCACAGGGAGCCCGGGGATGGGTTGTTTTGTGACAGGAGGACCTCCCCCTCCCATCCTGGGGAGCTCGGGGGTAGAGCAGATGCCAGGGACGAAATGGATGATCATTCACGCGTTTCAGCAAATATTTGCACAAACACTCTGTGCACGGCTCTATACTAGAGGCCGGGGCATAGGTGTGAGCATGACCGACTGGTCGCTGCCCTCAGCTTGCTCACTATCTGATGGGGAGGGGGCATCCAGTAACCAGAGAGGCTCAGTAGAGTGTGCCTGCTGGAATAGGACAGGACATGCCACCTGGCCCCCGCACCTGCGTCAGATGTCCCTTAGGACCCACCTGCTTTTTGATTCATTCAGCGTACATTCATAAGCTCCTGCCCCTTGCTGGGTACCATGCAGAATCTGGTAATGAATACGATCTACTTTCTTTCCTCAACTAGCTCGTGGCCTAAAGAGGGGAGGTGGACACACACTACACCAATATAAGTTATAGTAAAATAAGATCTGAGTATAATTAAAAGCAGTAGAAAAAAATTAATCTCAGGATGTGAATAAGGGGAGTTTTCCTTTCTAACCATGGGGGAAAGGGCCAAAAAGGCTTTAGTGTGGGTGTTTGTTTACTTGTTTGTTTGTTTTAAATATATATTTTATTGATTTTTTTTTTTTTTTTACAGAGAGGGAGGGAGAGGGATAGAGAGTTAGAAACATTGATGAGAGAGAAACACCGATCAGCTGCCTCCTACACACTCCCTATTGGGGATGTGCCCACAACCAAGGTACATGCTCTTGACTGGAATCAAACCTGGGACTCTCACTTCGCAGCCTGACGCTCTATCCACTGAGCCAAGTCGGTTAGGGCTTTAGCGTAGGTTTGAAGGGTAAGAATAAGAAGGATTTTGGTAAGTAGAAATACCAGGAAATGGCATTCCAGGATGAAGGGTCAGCATTAGCTGACCAAGATGAACATGTGGCCGGGACCGGTTTGGCTCAATGGATAGAGCGTTGGCTTGGGGACTGAAGGGTTCGATTCCAGTCAAGGGCATGTAGCTTGGTTGCGGGCATGTCCCCAGTAGGGGGTGTGCAAGAGGCAGCTGATCGATGACTCTCTCTCATTGATGTTTCAAACTCTCTATCTCTCTCCCTTCCACTCTGTACAAAAATCAATAAAATATATATATTTTTTTAAAAGATGAAGATGTGAAAACACAGGTGTGGCTGGGAAGTGACAAGTAATCTGGAGGAACAGAGCCCGGGGCTCGTGGAGACCTTAGACAGCTAAACCTGGAGCAAGTCCCTGTAGAAGGTCAGGGAGGCCCCGAGGCTGCCAGGGAGAATGGAGTGTGTCCTCCAGGCAGCGGGAGCCATCGAAGGGTTCAGAGGAGTGACTGACATTTAGAAAAGACTAGATGAGAGTGAGCAAGTTGGCAGGCAGCTGGAGAGAGGCAGCCAGAGACACCGAGGGGGCGTGTGAAGAGGAGGCGAGTGAGAGGGATTGTGAAGGTGGAATTTACAGAGTGTAGCTACAGGTTAGAAGTGGGAGACCAGGGAAGTGGGGGGTCACTGCCATCTCACAGGAGGTTTCCTGTCTGGAGAGGCCCTGAACTTCGGAAATGGGCATAGTGGAGTTTGACTCCTGACTTGATTTCATTTGCAAAATGGATTGATAACCTCCACCTCACCAGTTTCCGTGTGATGCTTTTATGAGAGAACAAAGTTCTTCTGAGACAGTTTGCCCAGAGGTAGGGCTCTGGGCTTTTCCAGATTCTCCTCACTTCCAAGGCCTGGGCCCAGTGGTGGTGGGGACCCAGTCCAGGACTGTTTTTTCTCTGGGAATCCTTGGGTCTCAAAGGTCATGGTCATCGGTGAGACTCCAGGTCCCCCTTGTCTCTGCAGGACTATGGATGTGGCTGTGCTTGTGGGAGACCTGAAGCTGGTCATCAATGAGCCCAGCCGCCTGCCGCTGTTTGACGCTATCAGGCCCCTGATCCCGCTGAAGCACCAGGTGGAGTACGACCAGCTGACACCCCGGCGCTCCAGGTGCGGAGGGAGCCCCCAGGCTGGAGGCAAGGCTGGGTGAGGTCCCCCTGGGATGGACAGGGTCCCTCAATAGGGGATGGGGCAGCACTGGGGGTCAGGCCAGAGCTGGGCCATCACCCGCCTCTCCCGCGGCAGGAAGCTGAAAGAGGTGCGCCTGGACCGTCTGCACCCCGAAGGCCTGGGCCTCAGCGTGCGGGGGGGCCTCGAGTTCGGCTGCGGGCTCTTCATCTCCCACCTCATCAAAGGCGGCCAGGCAGACAGCGTCGGGCTGCAGGTGAGCAGGCGGAGTCCTCAGGCTTCCTGCCTCCCCCACGCACTGGCTGGGCTGTGTGTCCCCCACTCACCTTCCTGAGACTTTGGGGGAGGAAGAGGCTGCCACATCCTGATAGATTTCCCTCGGGCTGCAGGCAATCGCCTGTTTTATTGCATCCCGTTGGGAACATGGCTCCCCCTGATGCTGCTGCTGCCACTGCTGCTGCTCTTCCCCCACCTCCCCTACTTCCTAGTTGCATCCTGACACCTGAAGCTTTGGACATGTAGCCTTTTACTGGAAGGCAAAAAAAAAAAAAAAAAAAAAAAAAAAAAAAAAAATCCCATGTAGTATCCAAACTGTCCTGACTTTGTAGCTGTATGACTGGTGAAAGCAGTTAACCCCATGCCTCAGTTTCCTCAGCTGTAATATGGGGATGATGATGATGATGCTGATGATGATGATACTATCCACCTCACCGGGTTGTTAAGAGGAGAATTCATAGCATGAAGAACTTAAAAACAGTGCCTGGCACAAGAGCTCCCATGCTTGTTAGGTAAGCAGAGAGGGAGATTGAGTAAGTTCCTGGGATGAGCCAAGGTAACATGCTCACAACCAGCCCTCGTTGTATGCCGTGGCTGTATCATCCTGTTGCCAGAGATGATAGCGACTCACTCTTGACTGGTGTCACAGCCAGCAAGTGGCAGAGTCAGGATTTGAACCCAGGTCCCCTGACTGCCAAGCCCAGGCGTCTCTCTTCAGCACCCCAGGTGCCCCTCCCCTCGGGTCCCCGCACCTCAGCGTTGGAGCAGAGATGGGCAGCCCTCCAGGGCTCGCTCCTGCCGGAGCCCAGAGCTGTGTTTTTGTATGATGTCCAGATAAAGAGAGGCCCTCCCATCCCCTCCCAGAGCTCCCAGCATGTTTGTTATCAACACCCCAATCCGGGCTGCCAAGCTGGGGGCTTGAGGGGCCTGAGGGGAAGGGTACAAGACACCGCCGCAGAGTGGGAGGTGGAAACGGGGAGCTGACAGACACCGCTTTGTTCTAAATCCCTGTCTCACGGCTCGCCGGCGGCGTCTGAAATTTCAGCCGCTTCATTATTCCTCCGCTGGGCGCACATTTTCCAGCCCAGAAACTCAGCCAGGGAGAGAGCACAATGAGCGCCTCTCCGGGCCCCCTGGAGGCCCCCTTCTTTCCAGGGCGAGCTCTCCTTCTAGGACAAGCATTTCTCCGCGAGGCCTCCGTGCCTGGGGGCTTTGGGCCATTTTAATGAAACAGTTTTATCTTCCCGCCTGTGTCTCAGGCTCAGGCATTATTGACTCTTTCTCGGGCTCATCGCTCCTTTGTGCCGCTGCCCCTCGGATCTTCGTGTCTCTGCGGTCCTCGCACAAAGGGCCTTTTGCAGGGCTCCGCGCGGGAGCCGGGAGGAAAAGAAAGCTGATCCAGCAACCTGAGCCGGGGGCTGCGTGGGAACCGTGCTGCCTGGGGTCCTGGGCAGGTTCCCTTTAGCAACAGGACAGGGCACTGCCCTCAGATGAGCTGGGGAAAGCACCAGCATCCATTCACCTGTCTGGGCTCATGTTTCCGGGGAGCTCTCCTGCCTGGATGTGGCCGGAGGAAGATTCTGGAAAGTTAGAGGAGGGACATGTTCAGGCACAGGTTGGCTGGAATGAAGGTCCTGTTGATCTGACGTGTGAGGCTAGGCCCCCTGGTTTGGGGGGCCTTGAAACCACCTATAGGACGTAGCCCTGGAACCTCATCTCTCTGCTCTTATCCCCCTGCTGGAGATGTTTCAGTGTGTGTTTTTAAACTGAACCTACCTCCTTTGCCCTGCGCAGGGCGGTCTGTGCTGCCCAACCTGCTATATGGTCCAGAGCTGGAGAATGATTCTGCACCCGTGGTGGTCCCAGCCCTTAAAGTGGACAGAACAACACCTGCCTTTCCTGTGGGGCTTGACGGCTCCGGCAGATGGCAAGGACCCAAAGAGGGGAAGACGCAGGGAGCTGTAGCCAGGCTTGGCCAGGCGCCCTGCTCTTCTGTCTCCAGACACCCAAGAGCCAACACTTGGGGTCTGTCAGGGAAACCTGACTTCAAATTCCAGCAACACCTTTTGCTGGCTGGGTGACATTCAGCAGATGGCTTCGCCTCTCTGAGCCTGTTTCCTCATCTGGGTAATAGACGCAGAGTTGTTGAAAAGTCAGTGCAGGAACTAGTAACTGTTCTCCTTACAGGAGATGTCCCCAGAAACCTAGACAGTTCTCAGAGAGTCCCTCCTCTTGGCACCTTTTTGAACCCCTTGCCACTCCTGCAGGCCCCTGAGAAGATTAGGGAGGGTGTCCAGATATGGAAGGGAAGTGTTCAGGTGGCAACAGTGAGAAGGTGACTCTGTGGCGGTGCAGTAGGAGGTAGGAGTTGACAGTCCCTCCTGGACTGTCTGCCCACCCAGCCCCCAGGCTCCACCGAGAGTCAACATGTACCCACTAGTCTCCAAGGGGTCAGCACATGTGGTGTGAGCCAAGCCCCTGCTGACCTGCGCTGGCTCAGGCTGGAGAGGATCATTCAGGATCCGTCCCTGTTTTATGGCTAATGGCTGTGTGACCTTGGACAAAACATCACCTCCCTGCTTCTCACTTCCTTCCAGACCTGCAGTTATTAAATGAGGAACTTCAAGCCTGATCCCCAGGGTCAAGGTACCTGGAGGAGCCCAAGGCAGTGTCCACTGGGGGGCAGTCTCACCACCCATCTGTATCCAGGCTGGACCTCCGCAGGCCCAAGTGCCCCCCTGTATAAGGAGGGCTGAGTCCTAAGAAGAAGGATCTGATCGGAATATTTAGAGCTCAGGTGCAACTAATAATAGCAATAGCAACCAGGTATTTACTATTTGTGGTGCCAGACGCTGGTCGACTTTATATGTACACATTCACTTAATTTTCATAGCAACCACATTTCCCTATTTCACAGAGGAGGGACACACGCTCAGAAAGTTCAGTAGACATGCCCAAGGTCACACAGCTAATAAGAGCAAGAGCAGGGGTTTGAACCCAGGCCTTCCAAAGCCAAAGCCTTTTGTTCATTTGCTATTCTTTGCTCACACCCAGACGGGAATTCAGAGTCAGAGCAGCAGCAGATGAAATGTCTGTTGAGTTTCTATAACGTGGGGGGGAAAAGGGATCGTGTGTGTGTGTGTGTGTGTGTGTGTGTGTGTGTGTGTGAAGTGTGCTTGGGTCAGGAGTCCTGGAAGTTCCCCACCCAAACTCCGTTATGGTGTTGCAGGGAAGCATGCTCAGTGGGGTGGGGTGAGAAGAGCTGCTTGAATCTGTGTGAAGGGTCACCTTCTGCATGGATTCCGGAACCTGCTGGTACCCAATAGGGTAAAAGGGACGCCAGAGTGAGATTACAGAGCCTTGAATTCTATTCCCAGCTCCGCTACCCACTCTTTGTGCCCCTCCCCCACCACCTTGGTCTCTCCATCTGTGAAACATGGCTGCAGAAAGACTCCTTGGAAGTACCACCGTCCTGGGATCCCTCCTGCTATTGGAGGGTGGGTTGGTTGTGACAAGGCACTAGGGCACATAGACCATCGTCCCCTTTCCTGGAGAGCAGGCCTGGGGCATCTGGCAGTGAACCTGCTCGGCCACCCAATGCTCCCTCAACCTGTGCTCCTCTGTCTGTGGCCAAGGTAGGGGACGAGATCGTCCGGATCAATGGGTACTCCATCTCCTCCTGCACCCATGAGGAGGTCATCAACCTCATCCGCACAAAGAAGACTGTGTCCATCAAAGTGAGACGTGAGTGAGGCCAGAGGGTGGGAATGGGGGGAAGGGAGGGAGCGGGGTGGTGCTAATGGTGGAGTAGGTGGTAGGGAGCAGGGAATCAGCTCCTGGGGCAGGAGGGGAGGGCAGAGGAGCCGTCCTAATCCTGGTGCTTTCCTCCCACAGACATCGGCCTGATTCCTGTGAAGAGGTGAGCAGGACCCTCCTCTGCAAGCAGATGCTTCCCTGTGGGCTCAGGGTCCTGGGCCAGTAGTGACTGGGGGCTCCAGATGGGGAAGATCTGGACTTGGGGCCTGGTCTCTCAAACAACTCTAAGAATCCCCCCCCCCTTCTCACTTCCTTTCCCATCAGCTCTCCTGACGAGCCCCTCAAATGGCAGTATGTGGATCAGTTTGTGTCAGGATCTGAGGTAAGGTCCAGACCACCAGTGATGGCATCTGAATGGAATGGTCTTCAAGGAGGGGCAGCTGGTCCTGAAAAGGGCCTTGCTCTAGGGATGTGCTCTCAAGGGCTTCACACATGCCCCTGTGCATCCAGAAAGCCCCTGTGGGTGCTGGGCCCTCAGCCAAGCCCAGCAGATATAGACCTCTTCCCCCAGGGACAGAATGGCCATCAGACTCACATGGGAATAGCAGTGCTGATGAGCTTAAATGGCCATTTGCACACATGTGACACCTCGTGACTCTTATTCTCTTTCCTCCAGGGCGGGCGGAACATTCTGGGCTCCCCAGGGAGTCGAGAAAACAGGGAGAAGAAGGTCTTCATCAGCCTGGTGGGCTCCAGGGGCCTTGGCTGCAGGTGGGTGGTGGGCATGACCTGGGGCTCACTCATGGCCAGCAGTCCCCAGGGGCTCCTAATGCCTTTCCCTTTTCTCACTGCTGCTTTTGAAGAAACTTTTTATCCACTGGTGATGACACTTCTTGGTGCCTGGTTTCCCCTCTGAGTTTCACAACAGGCCTGTAAGGTCAGGGGGACAGCTCTTAACAGGACCATTTTACAGATGAGAGCAGCCTGAGGCTCAGGTAACCAGGGCCAGCCAAGGTGTCAGGTAACCAGGGCCAGTAGCAGAGGTGTGATGGGGGCATCACCTTCCCCTGATCTCTGGGTTGCCTCCTGCACCTGAGGGCTCCTGGACTGTGAGAGGGCACAGGCAGGGCTGAGCGACCTCCACTCCAGTGCATGAATTTTCATGCACCAGGACTCTAGTAAATAATAAAAAGCCCCTCCTTTCTCAGAGATTGCAGCCTAATATTGAATCCAGCCACATAACCAGTCACAGGAATGAATGGCAAGGTTGCTAATGGAGCTGCATTTTGCATTCCAATCCTGTGCTACCTCTAATCAATTAGTAGTGGCTTCCTGGTGTACTGTTTTGAAAAGAACTTTAAGTTTGCATCCAGGCTTGGTGGGTAAAAGTGTGGTGATCGATTAATGATGTCTGCCACATCTGGGTGGGGAGAACAACAGTGCAAATGCTTCCCTTGCTGTAGGTGTTTTAGGAGCAGTGAGAAGGGAACAACTATCTTAATCTTAGGATAGAAGAGGAATTTCATTAAAGCCTTGTAGAGAAGATAGCATTTGAGCCTTATGGGATAAATAGGAAAGCGCTAGAAAAGGAAACAGCACATGTGATGTATTGGGTGAGGGGTTGGGTGGGGAGGCAGGGGTTATAAGTAGTTGTCTGTGGCTCTGGCCACAGGTGGACAATGAAGAGCCTTGGGTCCTGACCTCATGGTGACCTGTATTCTGTGACCAAGCCTGGAGATACAGGCAGAGGGAGCATGGCATTTACAACGAGCAAGCACTGAAAGCAGAGGTTCACTGCATGTCCCATCTCTTCCACAGCATTTCCAGCGGCCCCATTCAGAAACCAGGCATCTTCATCAGTAACGTGAAGCCTGGCTCCCTGTCTGCCGAGGTGGGGTTGGAGGTGAGTGAGCCTGGGCCATGGTCAGACTGTGACCACACAGTGAGGGATGCACATGTCTTCCCACACAGTCCTCTTTAGGCTGTCATTGGCTGATGATTCCTTCCCACCTCCCGAAAAGAAGCGTCACAGAGAGGGTGGCATTGGACCCTTTCTACAGTCTTCTCCAGCTCTGAGAGCTTTTAATCCTGAGCTTGGGGATGCAGTAATAATGATCATTGAGTGTTGACTGGATCAGATAGTGTTCTAAGCCCTTTAAAATTCATGAGCACTCTGAGAATTAGGTACTGTCATCATCCCTATTTTACAAATGAGGAAACTGAGGCTCAGAGAAAGTGTGTGATTTTTCCAAGATCAGCTACCTAAAATGGTAGAGCTGTGATTCAAACCTAGGGGGTCTGATTACAGAGCCAGAACTTGTCACCTCTACTTTGGCATATTACTTCCTCTTTTTGTGCATCAGAATTCTCTCCCATAAAATGGGGTAACAGCCTTCCTTCTAGAGGCATTGTGTGAATTAAATGAATCAATACACATGCTTAGAACTGGCATATAGTAAGGGACCGATGAATGCTAGCTACCAATTATGACTCAGCACAGCCTCTGCTATATGAGAAGTCCGAAGGCTCCTAGGTCTACATTCTGAGTGTTTAAAGCAAATGTCATAAATTCAGCCAAAGGAATGACCCTCTAACGATATAATATTGGGCAGCTGGTGAAAGACATGAGGCAAAGGACTCCATCAGAGCTTTCTAACACTCTGCTCATGAAGGAGAGCTGAAGTGCAGCCACTTGAAAACCCTACATCTGCCCTTGAACCCCAGGGTGAACCTTTCCTTCAGATAAGTGAGTATACAGATAGTGCAGACACGCTGATGCCTCTCCGTTTCTCCCAGGCAGGGGACCAGATTGTCGAAGTCAATGGCATCGACTTCTCCAACCTGGACCACAAGGAGGTGAGACTTGAGATCCTCACCTACTGGCTGTTACACCTCTGCCCTCCATGTCTCACCCCTCCCCCTGCCACCGTGTCTGAAACCTGTGCTCTCTAGAGGCTTGGACTGCTCTGGTCTGTCAGGCCTCAGCTGACTGCCCACCTGTCCCCACAGGCCGTGAACGTGCTGAAGAGTAGCCGCAGCCTGACCATCTCCATCGTAGCTGGAGCTGTAAGTCCAGAGTGAGCGGGTAGGCCTCCATGACCCCTGACCTCCAGGCCCAGCCACTCAGAGCCCTGAGGTCTGCCACACACTCCTGCGAAGGGCCAAGGGTATCTCTGCACTGAAGCTCTGACAGAGCAGAGGGAGAGGGTCTTTGCCCAGCCAGGGCACGTTTAGGTCAGAGAAAGCAGGAACCACTATGAGAAGATAGCCTTCATGTTGGCCCCCAAGGCTGTGCAGTGGGAGCCCAGGTTTCCCAGGGGACTGAGCATGGGGCCTCTTTTCTCCCCACGAGGGCCGGGAGCTGTTCATGACGGAGCGGGAGCGGCTGGAAGAGGTGAGGCAGCGTGAGCTGCAGCGGCAGGAGCTCCTCATGCAGAAGCGGCTGGCTATGGAGTCCAATAAGATCCTGCAGGAGCAGCGGGAGATGGAGCAGCAGTGAGTGTGGCCAGTTAGGACGCCCCTTCCCTATCCTCTCTGACAACATCAGCCTTGCTTTCTGTCCATTGTGTCCTGAGCCGACCTCATCCTCTCCTCCGAAGGCCTGTCCTCAGAACAGATGGGTCCAGTGGTGGACAGCATAAGCATCCCCTGCCTCCAGGCCACCAGGCTCCTCCCTCCTTGCCAAAGAGGGCCCCTGAAGTCCAAGACCCAGGAATATGGGGTTGCAAGTAGCTAACATCTGATAAGTACCAACCATATAGCTGGCACTGTATTATAGCCTCATGTATGTTACTTAATGTCATTTTCACAGTAGCCCTGTGAGATGGATGGTATTAACCCATTTTGCAGGTGAGGAGACTGAGACCCAGAGAGGGTAAGCCACTTGTGTGCAAAGTCACACATGGCCAATGGGGATTCACAACAGGCAGTCTAGCTGCCCCATCGGTGATGATAAGGTCTCCCCCCTACCTCTCCCCCCCCATCCCCCCTCCCCCCACACACACATGAGATGGTTGAGATGATGGTTTGAGAGAATAGATGGGACAAGCAATTCATATATAAAAAACAATGTCAGAATCTAAATCCAGGTACATTCTAGGAGCTTTATAAGAATTTGGATAGGGATTTCCCCATCTCTCCCATCACAGATTTAGCCTGAAAATTATCTCTGCTGGTACCTCTACCCACAGCCCTGGTCTTAGGTAGTCACCCAGCTTTGCCTCTGGGGTTTGGGCTCTCTTCCAGCAGAACCTCCCTCAGGCCAGGCCCTGCCTGTCATCAGTCACTTTAGCTAAGAGTTTGGAGGTGGGCGCAGAGTGTGGCCCACTCTGACCTGCACTCCGGCTCCGGCAGCTCAGAGTCTCTGCTTAGTGGTGCCAAACAAAACCTCACAGAGTACACAACCAGCATCCAAAGCTGGCCCAGGCATCCTTGGAGGGAATCCTGAAAGAAATAGAACTTTTTCCAAATCAGGAGTTAGCTACAAAGAAGAGTGAACTTCCCTTGCACAGATTTCATGATGCCAATCTGCATTCATGTTTCAGAAGGAAAAAGGAAATTGCCCAGAAGGCAGCGGAGGAAAATGAGAGATACCGGAAGGAGATGGAACAGTGAGTGCCTCCTCCCCATGTGTCCACACAGGTGTCAGTGTGTGGACATGAGTGTGCTCTCGGAGTGTAGCCAGCCAGAGGCCACCCCCAGACCAGTTCACCTGGCCCTCTTGTGCCCTGGTGGATCCTCCTTTATTTTTAGCCATTCCATAATCCTAGTAAAGCCCAGCCCATTCAAGTAACTAGAACATGGTCCTACATAATTACCAGAGTAGCATTTACACTCGATTTAGAATACAAGAGCCAAGGATTTTGTAGTCTTCACCACAGCTAGAATCACATGGTCTCTCCCCAGGCTGGTTGAAGTTTCCCTATAGCAGGGGTGGGGAACCTTTAATATATATATATTGATTTCAGAGAGGAAGGAAGAGAGAGATAGCATCAATGATGAAAATCATTGATCTGCTGCCTCTTGCATACCCCACACTGGGGATTGAGCCCACAACCTAGCATGTGCCCTTGACTGGAATCAAACTCAAAACCTCTCAGTCCTCAGGCTGATGCTCTATCTACAGAGCCAAATATGTCAGGGCATGGGTTGGGGGACCTTTTTTTCCTGCCATGGGGCATTTGGATATTTATAACATCATTCAAGGGACATACAGAATTATCAACTTAAAAATTAGCCTGCTATATTTGATCAAACATTTAATCAACTCACCCCTCATGCCTTGGCAGGGCCAGACCAAATGATTTCCCCACCCCTGACCTACAGGCAGAAGCCGGGCCCTTGAAGGTTCTGACACTAATCACAGGTGTGGGGTCTTATTTCAGGATCGTGGAGGAGGAAGAGAAGTTCCAGAAGCAGTGGGAAGAAGACTGGGGCTCCAGGGAACAGCTGCTCTCCTCTAAGACCATCAGCGCCGAGATGCACCCAGTGCCCCTTCGCAAACCAAAGTGTATGTATCATGGGCTGGTAGGTGGGGAGAGAGCTTCCTTCAGAGGCCAGGAGGCTGGGGGATGGTCCAGGCTGAGATGCTGGTCCCTCTTCACTCACCACCACCTCCCAGGTGAATAGCCCTCACTGTCGGGGCTGTGTTTGCTTCACAGAGGGGCAGCCCTGTGCCAGGGCCTGTCTGCCAGGGCATTGGGGCTGGAGGGATCTGTCTGCCCTCCTTGTCCTCGAGGTCTGCTGCCTGGCTCTCCCCCACAACACAGACACAGGCAGCTGGACCCTCCCTGTGCCTGTGAGCTGCTGAAGAGGGATTGGAATAAGGGGAAGTGAACTGCTCATGAGATTATCTTAGTTTGTTGGGTGTTGTATCTTCTTCCTGCTTGGGTGTGAATTGGGGCTGGGGTGAAACAGCAGCAGGACAGAGGGCAAAACTCTGGTAGTCCAAGCTTGATGAGCTTCCCTGAAGTGACCCTAGCACCTGCATCCCTGGGCATGGACCCTGAGATGTCTCTCCCCTCCAAGGATGGAATCAGGACTCCCAGGCACCAAACTGTGGCCTTCCTCCGGCCTCGGGTCCTTCTGCCTTTATCTCCTTTCTTCGTCTGTGCTATGTTATAATCCCTAGTTTTGGTCCAGGCCTCAACCAACTGCTCTCCTTTCCACTAGCTCTCAACCCCAACTCCCAGCATGCCTCTTCAAGGGGAAGCTCACAGCCCCAGGGCAAAGTGGGGGCTCAATCTCAATGTTTATTAAGTGGGCTTGTGGGGGGGAGCCAGGGGCAAGGCAGCTTGGAGGCCGAGGCAGTCAAAAGTCCAGGATGCCTGGTTGGGCCTTTACTCTTTATAGCTGTTTTGATGATAATGGACCTGGGGCAGGTTCTACTCCAGCTGACTGTGCTCAGCCACCTGAGAACCTCTGGATATGGGGTGAATCTATAACCAAGGACCAAGATTTCCCATTTCTGCTGTGTGGCAGCCATGTGGGATGTGTGATAGGTTCTGGACTTCTCTGACTCCAACTTTGAATTTTGCCCAAGTCCTAGAGGGACATGAACTGGGGCCAATGAAGAGGTACAGAGCATCTGGATGATTCTACCTCGCCCTCCTTGGTGCAGGGCAAGCAGCTCCCACCCAGCCACTCCTCTCTGATAGGGGGCATGGTGTCATCTCAGGGACCTTTCGGAAGAACAAAGCACGCTCTCATCAGCCTTCTCTGTGACATTAGTTGAGGATGAGGCCAGAGCTGAATTCCCGGTGAATAATCTGTGCTTTCAACAGGGAGTTAATTTGCTCTTAATGCATGAAACAGGAACTTCAGAAGAAGAGAGATCGATTTTAATTGCTTCTCCCGAAAGTAATCCTAGTCAATTTAGTACCTGCCTTGACACTGGGTATTGGCTTCAGAACAAACACATCTCTCTCAGGAACTACAGAAAATGAAAACCCTTTCTGCAGCTAGCTATTTATTTGGTGCTTTTAAACAAAACCAAGCATCTTGAAGAAAAGGAGTGAGAATTTTGTCCAACATGTAAATGTTTTCTAAAGCAACATCGCGAAGCGTGAGATGGATGATCAGACTCCGCCAGCCTGAGTGGGGGCTGCTGCCGCTACCGCCTCCATCCATCTCCATACGCACCGGCAATTAATTCTCGTTTGGAGATAAGTCAGGAAATGCAGGAAGGCCTGGGAGTCACCCCAGGGCCTGCCTTTCTCCGCATTCTTGAGAGGCTAGAATGGTCTCAGCCGTTCCGGGCCAGCAGGACCAGACTGTGTTCAGGTCCTCCCTGACCCTCTTCAACTTGGGCCCAATCAGCCCACAGCTTACACCTGACTTGTGTGTCTGTGCCTGATGATGGGTGGACCTTGCACTTTTGAACCGTCAGTAAAAAGTGGGGAGCATCGCTTGCCCAGAAAATGAGGCCACTCATCCTAATGATGTGGGTGGGACTGATGGTTCCCCTCACCACCCTCTGCCCCAGGGGCTCACCCTGCTTACCCATGGCCGATCCGACAGAACCCCAACATCCTGCCAGGCCCTCCAGTCTAGGACACACTGTCACAGAACTCCCCAGAAGAGCTTCCTTAGCTAAACCAACAAGGAGGAGGGATTTCTATCAAGGATCCCAGAGCTAGAAAAAGCCTGCATAGGTAAAGAGATTTAAACAAGAGATTCCCATCCTTCTCCTGCCATTATGGTCCCCATCAATCCATTAGTCCCCACACGCAAGAGGCCCCATGGTTTGGAGGTGGAGTTGTTTTCTTACCAAACTATTAAGTAATCATTTGTGCCCCCATTGTTGGATTAGGTAGTCATTTTTGTTAGCAAGAAAGCAGCAGTGTTCCACTGTCGAGTAGCCAGAAATCAAGCCAAAAGCAAAGGCTCTTAACATTAACCCTTTCATAGGTGATTGGGCAAGTTCTTCTAATTAATATTTGAAATACAAATAAATAACTGGCAGCAAACTTATACACTACCTCCTATCATCCCAGGGAGGCTGGAATCCAGGTTAGAAACCACTGGAATAGGTGGTTTGCTTTCTACACATTATGTCAAAATTAGTGTCTTCCTGGCCACACGTGCCCCTCTAACCTAAGGTGACCAGATGTCCCACTTTTGATTTTTTTTCTTTCCAAAAATTGGGACTATTTTAAAATGCCTCAGGATGCGGGACAAATTGTTAAAAATCAGGACTGTCCCGCCAAAAGCAGGACGTCTGGTCACCTTACTAACCCTTGGGAATCTCTTCACCTCCTTGGGGTCCCCAGTCCACCCACATAGCTCCAACAGCCCCCGGGGGACCCAGAGGTCTGAAGGGGGTAAGTAGCCAGGAGGATCTGTTCTCCCATCAAATGCTCTGGCACCGAACATGTGTAATACTCGGGTATTCCATCCTCTGTGCCATACCTTCCAGGATCAGTTGAACACCCCACAAAATGCTTCTCACTCTGCTGTCAGATCACAGGCCCGTGTTGTGAGCCCGTTTTACAGACAGAAAAACTAAAGCTACCAAGGTTGAAAGCCCAACACACACCTCCCAGAGCGAGAAAGCTTTGCACTGGGCCTCTGAGCCCTGTGCCTGTCCCTGACCTCACAGCTCCCCTAGAGGAAGCTGGTCCCAGGCCCCCAGGCTCCTGGGAAGCGCCTCTGGCCTCTGGGTCTCCTGAATCCCTCTCAGTTCACCAGCTTCCCCCTGTCTTCCCGGGTAGATGGTCAGAGAGTGGAGCCCGAGCTTGAGCCTGCCGACGACGACGGGGACAGAGGCACGGAGGAGCAGGGAGAGCAGGTTTGCGGCCCCCACTTCGCTCACTGGCCTCACTGCTCTGCTTGCTCTGCTCACCTCCCCTGCCATCCCTGCGTCCAGCTTTGGGGGACCAGCATTTGGTGGAGTGTGTGGAGCTCCTCTCAGCCCTGGCTTGGTCCCAGCCCTGCACACAAAACCTCGAGAACAGGACTTAGGGTCAGGCTGACATGATGGCTAGTGCACACAGTACAACTAAACTGTTGGTTCAAATATTTAAGTACGGCCAAGGTCAAGTTCTTCCTCAGGCCTCTCCCCAGGACACCCCAGACCTCCCAAGATCCAGCAGCTAGAGGGTTGTGCTTGGTCCACAAGGGGCTTTCAAGATTCTATTCTAGAGCCCAGGCTGGTCCAGAGTGAGTCATTATTTAAGCTGGCCCCGGGAGCTGCAGGTTTGCGGTATTGCCCAGCCATGCTGCTGCCTGAGGACGGCAGGGGGCTGGTGCCTGGGTTGTCTGGCCTGGCTGGGGATTTGCTTTTTTTGGAGGCTGATCTGCCTGCTTGCCGCCTGAGCCGTCCTTCCCAGAGCTGCCCCCAATCATCGCTTTCTCTTCCAACACTGGGAGTGGAGGATAGGGCCTGGACCATGGGACAAGACTGTTTTGTTCTGGCTGACAGCAGTTCTAGGCAGAGACCCAGACTCCCTTTTGTCTCCAGCCGTTTCTTGGATGGAGGGACCAGACGTCGGTCAGGAAAAAGCCTCGTTCTCTTTCAACGGGGCTTTGTGTCTTGCAGGCTGTGGCTCTGATTTGACAAAGCTCATCCCACCAGGGGCTTTCTCTTTGATTTTCCTGGCACTGACTTCTAAAGCCAGAGGCCGGGGCAAGGGGCAGGGGGCAGGGGGCAGGGGCCCAGGGCCTGGTGGTGGGTCGGGGCCTTTCTCAGGTGGTCCTGGGCCCGCTTTACAGCCCAGGCGAGGCAGGTAAGTGGAGAGTCAGGCAGAGGGTGCGGTTCTGCGGCTGGAGCCCCGCTCATGGGAGCCCCGCTCTCAGCCTCTGCCCTCGAGGGGTGCCGGCTGCACTGACCTGTCTCACGGCTCCGTTCTCTGTGTTGTTACAGCCTTTGGGTGGTTTTATCGTTACGATGGCAAGTTCCCATCCTTCCGGAAGGTAGGACAGGGCTGGGTGCTGTGCCGTTTGCCTGTGCGTATGCTGTGGGCTTTTGGCCTTTTCCAAACATTGTTTTTTCCTGTCAACTCTCAACCGTGTGATCCGGACTGTTCACGCCAGGGCTGTGCTTCTCTGTCAGGCTGATGACATAAGGCAGGGCCCTGTTACAGGGGCATCATGTGGGGGAGGGTTCTCGGGGTGAAACCTGCCCGGGCACCATCAGGCACCACCTGGGTCAGCCCTGGGGGCACAGGGCATCCGGGGAAGGGCATGGCAGGAAGCTGCTGCTCTGTTGCTCTGTCAAGCAGACCCAGCGGCCAATACAGGAAGCCAAGGTCAGGCAGAGGGAAATGTCAGGTGGGGTGTACATGATGCAGATTATGAGGCTGATGGAGACAGACACAGACCAGCTGCCGAGGTGGGAGCTCGCTGCCTCGGGTTGAGACAAAGAACCACAGCAACCATAACTCTCCCTAGAAATATCTCCCCGTATGCCTGGGATAATGCTATTTTCTGGTCTCTGAGGCCTTGGATGTCCTCTCTAAACCTTATTATTGCTGTATCTCCAGGCCCCATAAACCTTTCTCATCCATTTCCTTTCTAAATCACTCTGGCATTTCATTATGGAAATGCCGCTGTTAACATCTATAGATTGGACCTTCAGGATGGCTTGGTATTTGGGATCCAGGCTTCAGCATAAATCTGGATAAAGTCATGTAGGTGTCATCACTCAACCGGCTCTTTCTGGCGGGATGTCTGGCCTCCAGTAACTAAGCCCTGACAGCGGTGTGACCTCGATCCTATAGCCGCTCCCTGCCTGTAAATGGGGATATCTAATGTGCTAGAAACATCTGCCCCTCCCTCCAGCACAGCACTGTTCAGACACTAAGACAGCACTGTCATTCCTGATGGAGAGTGTCTTCACCTTAGAGCCCGGGGCATGACTTGTCTGACTCTTAATAAGCCTGGACAGGGCCCCTTAGGGAACTCTGTCCACACTGTGGTGGCCTCAGGAAGGACTTGGTCTCATCACACTGTCCTTTTCCATTTGCAGGCTGACCCTGGCTTAGGATTCCTCATTGTGTTACACTACAGACTCTTTCCCTATATACAGTCTCTACTAGAATGTAACTAGAGACACACACACACACAGAATTTTACTTGCAAAATGAATGAAAGGAGATGGGTAGGTTAAATCTTTCCCAGGCCACTGATAACTGGATAAATGTAAGAGAGGTGTGTGTTCGTCTCCTCCACACACACATACTTCCCCTCAGAAATCACGTGCCTTAAAAAGTGCTTTTGCTGGACCTGCTTCCCTCTATTTATTAGTTCAGTCATTCCAGAAATAGCTGGTATTTCGATTTCCATTTCATTTCCAAACGAGAGGAAAATTACTTCTAGCAGCAAGAACACATCCACCCCATCTGCCTCTCCTTAGTCCTGACTGAAAGGAATATTTGCCATGAATCTAACTGACAGCTGAAAGGACAACAGAATCGTGTTCTTCCTGCTGGCTCTGAAAATCCACCGCCACTTTCTCCAGAGCCACGTGAGACGCCATGTCTCCCAGGAGCTGGAACACCCAGTGCCCAGGTGGCAAAGTGGTTATCTATAGCCATGACCGCTGAGGCACAACATCCCCCTTATGGGAAAAGCTAACGGCTCGATGTCTCAATTCCTAACCTGGAAGTAATCCCTCTGGTCTTCAAAGCTCCCCGGCCAGTGGCCCCAAAGAGTCTGAGCCAGGGCCTGAGGATGTATGGTTCTGACTAACCCTCCCACCAGGACTGCATGACTAAGTCATAGAGACCAGCCCTACTTGCAGGAGCCCACCTTCTGGCAGGAAGGCAGACACACACGCAACTAAGTACCCCTCTGGAGCAGACTGTTCTGAGAGCAGTAGACAATGCTATGGGGCAACTTGCTCTTCTGCTTCAGTAAGCAGGCGCTGCTTTCTTGGAGATGTCACAGGAACTGTCACATGTGCCTGCCCCACCCAGGTGCCCTAACTCTAAAAATTTAGCCCAGAATGGCCATTCCAATCACAGTGGTCCCTGTGGGAGGCCATCCCCTTCCTCTAGCCAGCTGTACCACATAAAACGTTTCTGGTTCCTTCTGGGGATTTGCTGTCTGAATCCATAACATGATAGCAAGGATTCATCTATCAAGTGAGCCAAGAGTTTAATCAGCAGGGTAGGCAAGGAACCAAGCAGAACTCTGAAGCCATTTGCTCAAGCGGCACATAGACCGTTCTGGGGTGAGTCCCATCCCTCAGATCAGTGGTCGGCAAACTGTGGTTTGTGAGCCACAGGTGGCTCGAGAGCCATGATTTGCCGCTCTGTTGACTGATGAGTTTGCCGACCACTGCCTCAGAGGGTGGTGGGTGGGATCATCTCCAGAGCATAGTACATGCACACGGAGGTAGGGGTTGTCTTTAGGGGCAGGATGACTCAAGCATAAGTCCATAATGACATCTCCCAGCCCAAGTCCTTCTAGTGGGGTTTACAATTGCTAATAAACTCAAATCTTCATGTCTGGCCTTCTATGCTGGGGTGACTGAGGAATTCTGAGAGCAGGCCCCAGGAAGGTTTTTTGGGGGTGGGGTGAGCTCGCAGTTGGGTTTCTTCCTTCCCCAGACATTCCACAGAATGTTGACTCTCCTCTGTTCCCTCTCCAGAGAGCTAGCTGTATCTTCCAGGCTGTGTGTGATGGAGTTGACACTTGCCATTCTCCAATTGCCCCCAGCTCATCTGGACACAGTAGAAAGTTTATGGGACCTTGAAGACTCAGGGGCAAATCCTGGCAACATTACTTATTAGATGTTTGATGTTGGGCAAGAGACTATGTCATGTGGTGTCTACATATGAGACACCTTTCTCTCCAAATATTGGAGAAGGCATGTGCCCAGATACTAGGAAGCAAATACAATGCCTTTTATTTATACAGTACTTTAATGTTTATAAAGCACACATATAGATGTTATTTCATTGGCTCTGGATGGCAAGCTTAGGGGGCAGATATTTCTTCCATTTTGGAGATGAATCAGGCCCAGAGAGGTTAAGAAACTTAGCCAAAGTCACATGGCCAATTAGTGAATTAGTAACCCATTCTTCTGGCAAAGGAAATGTGTCTCCTACTCTGCAATGAGTAACAGTGGCCTGCTTGTCATAAACCTGAGAACCAACGCCCATGGGCAGAGCTGGGGGAGGGGCTCGCCGTGGGATGGTTGCCTGGTGTTGCTGAGGACTGAATGCCCTGTTTGTGGTGCTGTGCCAGTGTCAACACTACCTTGTAACCCTTGTCGTGTAAAAAATGCCACATCTGCTCAGAAAGGAAAGGAAAAGAAAGCACAGTATGACAGCCTGCAAGAGTTGAGAAAGAATAAGAAGGAACTGGAGTTTGAGCAAAAGCTTTACAAAGAGAAAGAGGAGATGCTGGAAAAGGAAAAGCAACTGAAGATCAACCGGCTGGCCCAGGAGGTAGGTGACCTGCTCAGAGGCCCGGGAGCACCCCTGGGATGCGGCTTGGTTGTTCTCCATCATGCTCCCAGGGAACCAGCCTGCGTTATTCTCCCCAAATGGAGTCCAAAGGTGGAGTGAGCCCTGCCCCCTCCTTAGTGTGGAGCATGAGATCATCCCACCTGCACAGGGTCATCTGAGACTAGCTTCTGGCTTAGATGTATGTTTGGGGTTGAGACTGGCCTCATTGCTCAGGTATGGGTCTGAAGCTAACCTTTCTGCTCAGATTGTAGCACTTAGGTTAGCCCTCCACACACCTGGCCAGAGGTTTGGGTCTGTGCCCTCCAACCCCCACCCCCGTATCAGAGTGTGAGTCCAAGGCTAGGCCTCTCTGCCCCAGGTGTGGCTGTGAGTC